TCGGTAAACTAAGGATTAAGATATTTCGAATATTTCTATTTAGTTTTTTTTTTTTTTTTTATTCTCTTCCAATATTTAAATTAGAAAATTGAACTCTAAAATAAAAAAATATTTTCAGATTTGCAAAAAAATAATTTAAATCTTTTTTCCCAAAGAAAAAAAGAAATAGGGGTGTGTAGTCGGTCACGTTTTTAACGTATGAACAAAGCCTGAAAGTCGGGGGTCCACCGTAGAGAGGTAAACGCGTCATTCTGTCACAATCTCCCAACCAATCACAGACGTCTGTGACGGTCGGTGATGTTTAGGCAGTGGCCTATCATTTTCAACCCCTCCTTTTGTTTTATTTCATTTCATGTTGTAAATATTCATAACAAAGGGGATAAGTGGATAAGGATGAGGTAGCCGGGTGCAGGATAGACGGCGAACCACCTGATCATTTCCCTCACCTCCCTGAATTCATTTGGAATATGAGAGTAAATTGACTAATGGGGAGATGGGAATAATAGTTTTGGACTCTCAATGTTCAGAAATTGAGTGGCTGAAATGGAAAAACAAACCAAACATATGCCGAACGTGTCGGGCTACTACTTGGAAATGCGATAATAGAAAAATCAAAATCAAATAGTTATCCAAGGCCAACAAAATGTTCATATATCCCAGAGTTCAATTCAGTGTCGACTCGTGTCACACAATCTCGTGTTCGTTGAAGCCCATTTCAAATGATAACAAAGCTCATGCTCTGCTACAATTACACAAGGAGAGCCTAAAGGAAAACATGAATTCGTCTGCCACAAGCAAAATATCATCATAAGAACAGCCTTCCAAGCGTTCCTTCAAAGTGATCCAAATTAACATACACTAACGATGTGAAGCCCAGAAACAATTTAACAAACAACAAGAAAGAGGACTTCTTGGAAATGCTTCAAAATCCTATCAGGAAGTGTCCCGACGAGACGACGAACAAGAAAAGACAAACACTATAATACAACAATTAGTTGCAAACTTTGACCCGTCCGTAAACATTCGGGCCAGGCCAATTTGCGTTACACCTCAACTAGTTTCACGTAACAGCCATCTAACCCCACAAAAACTAGTTTATAGAATGTAATATCCCTGACTGACACAGTATAAACCCGATCCCCAGTCAGCAGTTGTGTACCCAAACACGGACTGTGTAGGGCAATGGACTTGGACTCTATATAATTATATTTGCAAAAGCACGTGGCCATGTTGTTATAACATTTGTTCAACACAGCTCTGGCCCAAGTCATAAGAAATAGTTGGATTTGTGCCTCCATGTGGTGGGAGTAACTGTAAACAACTCGGGTCTTTTCAGTCATCATCATTCCATCTTATGATTTTCAACGTAAATTGAAGTACACATGGACCTTTTCTAAGATCCATCTCTCAGATGTTATTGAGTTGGAGTCCTAGAAGTTTAAGTCGAAGATCAAGACAGAAACAAACGGTGGATCATGTTGGGATTGTATATGCTTCTCAAAGTCTACGGGAAAATGAAGACAGCCAAAAGCTATAGAAGATTGGAGTTTCATTTGAATGAGTACTCATGCACGAACAAAATTATACTGAGGATGCAAAAATCAACGGTTCTCAATTGGCGAAAGGAAATTCACATGAAAACGTCAAGTTTTCCAATTTGCATCTCATACCGAAAATATCTCTTTCACATCATAAATATATTTCTCCATATTCTCCTCTTCTTCAGAATCTGACACATTGGATGAAATGAGAAAAATCAAGGCCTTCCAAGCCAAGAAGACGTCATTTCAGGAAGATACAATAATCTAAAATTCCGACCTCATGTTCCTCACAAGAGAAGCACCAAGATCAAGATTTCTCCACATTCTCCTCTTCTTCAGAATCGCCTAGCCTAAATTTAGAAAAGGAAGAATCTAAGGCCACTGGTTTTCTGTATTTGAACTGTTTGTGATTTGGGACCAAGAAGCTACTTGAAAACTTTTTACGAGAGATAAAAGCTCAATTCAAAGGAAACTCAACGAAGAAAGGCTCTAGACACTCACAGGGAAGCGATGAACCTAGCTATAAGTTACATAACTTAAAAGGCTGCAGAAATCCTCCATGCCCAAAAATACTAAGAGCTCCCTGCTTGGTTCGGGGGTGCTAAACTCTTCATTAAGATAGCAAATGTATTCTATCGTGGTAGTTAATCCTTCCACATAAGGATTAAGCATCCGAACTGGCAAAACTCTTCATTAAGATAGCAAAAAGAAAGTATTTTAACGTGGTAGTTAATCCTTCCACATAAGACTTCCTAATCAGGGGAAAACAGCCTTCTTGGAAATTCTAACCATCAAAAATAAAGAAAAACAAGGAGTGCATAGGGGAGCAAGGATCACGTGAATGACGAATAATAGCAAGGATCACAAAAAAGGTGAAGAATTGCCTAAAAGAAAATCCATCTGAAGGTTTTCCACCCGCAATTAGAAACCATTAGCCCTAGGACGGCAATGAATATCAACCACAAAAAGGACAACGATTCTGAAAATTATACAAGGTGGAGTTTCACAAAGAAGGCAGACAGTAACCACAAAACTAATTTGATGAGGCATGGTACTATCACCCAACCAACAAGTCCTCCAGCAAGCAAGCCATCCTCGATAGAAAATTTCAAAATATTGAAAAGAGCAACTATGTGAGATAACTTTCCAATTCTTGAATATGCCTTTAGCATAAGAAACCAAGATCCATTATACAAGATGAACATCATATTGAACACCAAAAATGTATGCCATAAAAGCATTCGACTCCAAAGAGGAAAACAAAGTCTTTCAGCCAACAAGGTTATACTTCAAAGTTTCAAGTTCCCTATGCCTAACACATCTAACAAAACCATTCTCTTGAAAACCCTACCCTTATCAACACTCTCCCACGAGAAATCCCTCTGAATTTTCTCCAATCCATTACTGAAGCTGGAATATAGTGCAAAACAAACGGGATAAGTATCAATAAGTGTCCCTTGGTGAAAAGACATTCTTTCTAAGAAGAGACACTTTTGGTCGTCTTCTATGATAGGACTCCAAAAAGGGTAAAAGGTTGTACTTTAACTTGAAAGGTTCCTCGTGGACAAAAGTTGGAACAAATATAGTTCCCTTCTACAATTACAATGAGGGTCGTACATTATGATTCAAAATAGACTTAAGTGTTGGCAGAGAAAGGGCGGCCCTTTCCTAGAAAGAGAGGCACTCTAGGACCAATTCTATAATAGGATTCCAAACGGGTATAAGATTTTACTTGAAGGCTTTGTGGAACTCATACACTTACTCGTGGACAAGAGTAGAAACAAGAACTGCACCTCTTCTAAAAAATCCAACAAAGCTAAACTGCTTCAATGATTTTAGAAGGTTACAGTAGGTCTCAAAATAAACTTGGACAACAGTACGGTTGGTGATATTTCTGAGCAAGTCCTAGAAGTCCATATAGAAGTCTATGGGACGTTCATAAAGGACCATTAGAAAGACAAGTATAACTGCCGCCAAAGGAGCTAACAAACAAGGGGCAGTAGGGAAGAACTTAACATTAAGAAGAAAACATAGCATTTAGAAAAACGTAAATAAATCTAAAGACATGAACTGCATACACCACAATTAGATTTGGGACAGGAAGTGCATCTTCCTCAACCGATTCTCCTATGTACCAAGAAAGTATCACATTAAGCTAGAAACCAGATAAATTCAACGCCCATGTGCAAGTAAAACATAAATGGTGAATGACAACAAAGTCCATCATTTTCATCAGCACTGATCCAATGCAAACACTAAAAACAATGGCAAACAAAGCAACCACAGTGTAAGTAGAAAAACAAAAAAACTGACATCCCAATACTAAATAACTTCTAATTTACTAACATTTCCACTGTATAAGAAAACAGAACGACAGAGTTTACAAAAACATAAACCCTAATCACCACTCCCACGAACCAGCTATATGAATAAAAACTTTGTAATCCGCAAACATTTAAATCGGACGCTAAGACATTCAAGACTCGTAGCAGTTTTATAAAATATAATAGCAGTATCAGAGAGGAACGCAAAACGAGCTGCAATATCCATAATATAGCATCAAAAAACCGAAATTAAAGAAAAAAAAATCCCAAAACAGAAGAAAGAAAAAACAGACCCAATTACTCGAAAACCCACGATTCGCCGTCCATCTCCACCCTCAATCCCGATTCTTCAACCTCTCGACACGCTGGTTCAATTGCTCAACCTTCACAACCAAATGAGTGACAGAGTACAACAGCCAGTAGAACACAAGCGCCGCAGCGATCAAGAGTGCATTACGTTGGCTCTTCATGATCGATTTCTGGTGGCGAAGGTATTCTGAAGGGGTACAGGAATCCGATTCGCAAGTGGGGCGAGTCTCGTATTTCCAATAGATGTCCATGAGCAAGAAGAGGCAAAAGGGGACGACGGAGAGGAACGGCTTGAGAAGGTTGCGAGTGACGGCGATTAGGCCCTTGCGAAGGCCATCAAGGCCTGGGAGCGTGAGGAGGAGGACCATGATTGCCTCGGCGGCGGCGGCATAGCCAAGAACGACCCATTCCAACGCCATTAGTGATAGAGCCGAAGAGGGAATTGGAAGTCTGTGGGTTTGATTGATCTGTGTGTGAAATGAAATTGAATGCTTTTTGGTGTAGCGGTGTGAAGATGAGTTGTTTAGCTTTGGGGATTAACGAAGACGGAACATTAGCGAAACACGTGCCAAGTGATGCTGGCATGTGCGAAATGGAACATTAGCGAAACACGTGCCAAGTGATGCTGGCATGTGCGAAATGGAACATTAGCGACACAACGCCATTTTTTCGTATTTTACAAACTATTTTTTTTTTATTTAATTCCTAAACTATACGAATAGGTCTAATTCTACTTTTAAAAAATAACAATAGTTCATAAAATTTGTCCTTATTTAATTTCTAAATTTAATTTACAAAACTTATCAAATTTTATTTCTTTTTAGTTTACATATTTATAATACATAAAATCAAAAGATTATGGGTTATAAAATTTTAATTTAATTAATTTTTAAATTTGCTACAGATTTATTAAACATAAAATTGAAAATTTATAGACAAGTCCATCGTTTTGACTCGTGACATATCATGTATCGCTATCAACCTCACATTTTTTAAAAAGCGTGGAGAAGTTTTCTCACTCTTTCCCATCTCCAACTGATATGTGATTTCACGTAGGTTGGAGAGAGAAACTAAACATTACTCTTAAGGGTGTGGAAACCTCTCTCTAGTGGTCCCTTCCTCACCATTGTGATTATTTAATAAAATAGATTGAGAGGAAGCTTAGGATCCATAAATTGTAATATATAGTAGGCTCGATCACTAGTGGACTCGATGGAATTGGAAGAGATACCACCATTTTCATTAACGGATGAAGATAAACTGGAGTCGAGGAATTCGGTAATAACTCATGTCCAAGATCCGAAATTTGAATTTTACAGCATTTCCCTACATCTCTTACGATATGATCACGTTATCTACTCCTCGCTTCTTAAGAGTGGAAACTATCTCTATGGACCAACACGAGTTCTTCTAGTATGTTTTGTCATCACTCACATGCATCTGAGAAAAATTCTCAAGAAGTCACCCCAACATAGAACTGCTCCAAACTAAACAAACTTATCTATGATGTTTCTATGATTGAGTCATCGAAAATGAAGATGCACCTTGTTAGTATAGGTAGTGACTTCCTATCCTTAGAATCACTCTCATTCAGATACCCTTCCTTAATTACTTGAATGTCGCACGAGGGACATGAGGAAGGAGCGCAAGCAAGAGGGAGGGATGAAGGAGCGAAGACACTATATTTCACGTGTCAGTGACACTAATAACAAGTTACACGAAACACCATTTCAATCGTGAAATTTGAATAATAGAGACAAAATGGTTAGTGGGCAGAGCCAAAAGTGGGGAATTGATACCAAAGGGTTTGAGATTGATGCAAGAATAAGGTCCCTTGAGGGTGTTGTGATACTCAACTTTGAAAATCCTCATGTATTCCTTTCCCTTCTTCTTTCTCCAAGATTCTGCAAAAAGTTAAGTTCATATTCTATTCTTTATCCTATTTCGTTTGTTTCACACCCTTTACTTTTGTCTTCTATTTTCTCATCATATTCTACCCGTCATTTCTGTCTAATCTTTTCAAGTATGATGTATATTGTAACTATGTCCCGTGATTTAAAAATATGGGTTTCATGCATATTGTATGTCATGTGCACGAGATACTTTTTTAATATATTTTGTATGGACGCATACACCATAATATGATATGCACTCTTTTCTTTTAGTAGTTTTTGACAGTATAAGCGTGTGCAAGTACATAAGCTATGCATCCAAACTTACTTATAAAAAAAAGTCAAAAAAAAACAAAAAAAAGAATCCCATTATGAGTTAATGATTGCATTTTTCGACCCCAAAATACTCAAACTTGACCACATGAGCTAAATCTAATAATGAAAGTTTGATTATGCATTTATGTTATAGCTCTTCTGCCTAACCGTAGATTAATTATTTTTCGACTTCTTTGTCTTTTTTAGTAACCGAACACTAGAAATATTGTACATAGCGGTCCATAGTTAAAGGATGATGTTAAACGCCGATTAGTTGATTAATTCAGTTAACTAATATAAAGTAGAGAGCATAGAAACTTTCATTAAACCAACCAAATAACACACATCCAATAGTACAATTTTGTTTTACTTTTTTCTCCCATAAAAGAAAAAAGGAATTCAATCAAATATATTCTCAATTAATATATCAAAAGTGGGAAAGAAAAAAAAAAAAAAAAAAAAAAAANTTGCAGTTGAGTGGGTCCGACATGTCGAATCTCATGAGCTTTTTCTCTTTTTTTTTTAATTGCTAAAAAGAAGGCGTTCCAGAAGCATCCATTTAAAGTTCACTTCATTTGCCACCTGTCGAGATTCGAATACCGAGTGAATTAGGTTAATTTTTTTTGTCTATTCAATTAAATTTTTCCAAGAGTATTGTGAAAGAAAAATAAAATAATAAAAAATAATTTTAATTTTTTTTTTTTTGTAATGACTCTTTTAATTATTGAAAATTGATAAAGAATAATTTAATTGCATATATACCTCTTTGTTTGTCACAATAATGGCTTAGGAAAGCGAGGAAGACAACGATGAAGGCAATTCCAGCAATGAGTCCAATTATTACTGCAATGGTCTTCTCTATCTCTACGTCGTCGTTTCGATTCTCTGTCAACCAATTAAATGAAAAATAAATTAAAAAAATAAATTTCACCCATCTTCCTTTATTCCCCACGATCAAAATATTTTTTTTTAAGACTAATTAACTCCTAAAAAAAGAAAATTTTTAATTTATTCATGAAATACACCCTTTTTTTAATTTTAATTTTAATTTATTCAAAAATTTATTTTTGAAAAGTGAAAAATTAAAAATATGTTAAATTAAATGCATGAAAAGATGAGAAAGCAATCATCACATTGACTCAAACCTCCACTTCACACCTTTATATGCAAATAAAATTATTACCCTTTTTTTTTTTTTAATTTTATTTCATCCTAAATATTTTTTCAATATTTTTAATTATTAAAATTAAATAAGACTCGGGCGGGAAATACATAATCTAATCTGTATCTCTAACTAATTTAGTTAACGAAATTCCCCGAATTAAATAGACATTTTCTTAAATATTTATTAATATTATTTATTAAAATATTTTTGCAAGTAAATCTCTATTACATGGAAACGTTGTAAGTAAATAAGCAAAATTAATTAATTAAATTCGAAGTTTGTAATTTCCCAAAATTAAATATTAAAAGAAAACATACCATTTCCACCGCCACCAGCGCGGGGGCGGACATTGCCATGGGAGAACCGAGCATAGCACTTCCCCAAGAACATATCACCCCACCCTGCCGCCGCACAGTCCGCCTTCAGCCGGCCCACCGCCGTCGCAACACAATCCTGACACTCCACCGCATCCAAATCCCCAACGCACTGCGCCAATCCTTGAACATCTCCGGACCCACCAACTCTAAACGGCTGATACCCACCGCCGCCATCAGCCGCCGCCAAATAAGCCAACACCGCATCCCTTCTAGCCAACCCACCGGAATCATACCCCATCACCGCCCCACACTTCTTCACCACCATAGTCTTGTCCTCCACTCCCAAAAAGCTAACATTGTCGTACTTCACAAAACACCCCTCCAGCTGCAACGCGCCACCGCACGCGTCCAGGCAGATAGACCCAAGTTGAGCCACGGCATGAGTCACACACTTGCCACATGCCACGTTTTTTAGATCGCCACGACACTGGAATAGGCCGTATACAGTGTCGCCGGCGCCGTCGCTGTCGCCGTCGACGGTGAAGTTAGTGTAGAGTGTGAAGGAGGAGGAGGTGAGGAGGGAAGTGAGGAGGGAGTTGATATTTGACTCGATGGTTGAACCGGGTGTGTATTTTGACTGAGAACAGCCGCCGTAGACAAAAGACGTCTCGCCGGTTGGGGCCGCCATGGACGGCGGCGGAAGAGTAGAAATGAAGAGGAGGAGGAAGAGGTAGAGAAATGAAGCCATTTTGAAAGAGATGAAGGAAGAGAAGAGGTTTCAACGGGTATTTTATATGTTCTTTTGGTGATTGATCCCATGCAATCAAAACTTTTTGGGATCATTTACTCAGATTATTGAAATAAAATAATTAATTACGCGTTTTTAAGACAAACATCCTTAAAAATTTAAGACATGTCTGATAATTCTAAACATTCTAAACAAATATATAAAACATAAAACCAAGACACACATTTGTTAAATTAAAAAGGGATAAATTGAGAAATAAGTAAATAATGAAAATGTTTTTCATTTCTTGTTTTTTGATGCTCTCTCTTTCTCCATATCTTCAAATAAGCTTCCATCATAAACAGCCTTCACAGTTTGCTTCTGAAGCAAGCCATTCTCATCTTTGCAAAGACTGTACAGAATTCTCCATTCTGCCCATGCACCAACCCTTAAACAAATACCATAAATCATATCAATTTCCTTAGCCTAAAATTTGTTCAGAACAAGTGTTTTTTAGGAAGAGTTAGGGAAGAAACCAACCATCCACTGTAGTCTTTAGGTTCTCTATTAGCCTTTAGCAAGCCTTTCACCTCTTCTTCCGTCAAGCCATCCGGGTAGGTTAGGGCATGCTTCCGAAACATTTCTTCAAATTTTGTAGCAACGAATCTGCCATTCACAATCACGAATTTTAAAATATTTCTTTTTGTTCTTTTTAACCATGTATTGGGTTGTTGCTATTCCATCATTAATGGTTTAATAGACAACATATCAATTCAAACACGGGTATTAACATCCTAAATAGAGTTTGAACCAAGCATTGAATAAGGCAAGTAGTCAATAGTCAGTACCTAATACACGTTCGTATTGACACATCAAAGATTAAAGATGAACAAATTAGACAACCCTTTATGTGTTGCTAAGGCACTGAAAACTACCTTCCCTGTTGATCATATACGCCAGAATCACTTCCATGTTTGGCAAGTTGGATGTTCTTTATCTCAATTGGGAACATCAAATTAGGAAATTTCCCCTGCAAAAGCAATGCATATATATATATATATATATATATGAAATCACATTAATAATATACCAAATGTAAAAGCTTTTATAATTATTTTTTCCCCCTGTTCTTGAAAATGTTAAAAAAAACGCTTATAACTCCTGGCCTTAAGTTGAATGGTTACAAATGGTATTAGAGAGATATCGAGCAAGAAGGTTGTACCTAAACGAGTGTGTATTTTTTTTCAATTTCCAAAATAATTAAAATTATATATTGAGAGGAGAGGAGAGGAGAGGGATTTTACGGGTCGGGTTTTAGAGCTGAGTCCAACGTTAATAAAAACGGCGGCGACGGCGGACAATAAGAGATTGGCGCCAATTGCTCGGAAGCCCTGGAAGGTCTCCCATGGATAAACCACCCCATCTTTGTTCCTATCGAAGAACGCCACGTGTTTCTGCAGCACGTTGTTCCCTGTATACAACCATGGGTGACCTTACCTTCTAAAATCAAAATGACAGAAACGCAATTTCGACAAATTCTGGGGGGGGTTTTGGGAATTTACCTTCTCCGCTGAGGCTCGATGACAGAGTCGAGAGTTCAGTCATGGTGAAGAAGAAGAAGAAGAAGAAGAAGAAGAACGGGAGAGGAGGGCCTTTTTGTAATTTTGGTTTGGTAATTAAGCGGTGCGTTTTGGAGGATATGAAAATGGAACCATTACTCCCATCCTTATATACACTCGTTTTTTTTTGACGTCTTCCAACTCTGACTTGTCCTCCACTCCATATCTATTTTCTTTTCATTTTTTTTAAATAAAACTAAAATATATATATATATATATATATTTAATTTTTTTTATGTAAAAAATAATGGTGCTTTTAAGCTGTTACAAACTCATTACCTTTTATTTTAAAATTTTCATCCTATTAAAAAATTATTTTTTATACGAATAAAATTTAGAGGTATTTTTATTAATTTAGTAGGTTGATTTTTTATTTTTATTTTTTTAAATTAAAAATTATAAGCACTACTCCACCTATAGACTATTTTTTTTTTCCTAATGTTATTTAATTTTCACCCAAAAAAATCTCTTTCACATGTTTGTGAAGTTTTGAAAAAAAATAAAAAAATTAGAAACAATTTAAAAAAATGCTTAAATTCACAAACCCAATTTCTTTATACATCAATTTCAAATGGTTTTAACAAATTGATTTTATTTTATAGTGTGAACTCAATACTAAAGTTAAATCAGTCGAAGTAAATAAAATAAAAATATTTGGATATAAAAACTTATATTTATGTAATAAATTTTTAGATTTTTTTTCGAATTTGTAATTAGAAAAGTTGAGTATTAAAATTAGGTTGAATCGTTAAATGTCACGTTAGAATATTATAATACGATAAGTTATATATATAAATTTTTAGTTTAAAGTAGCGTAGGACATAACATTTAATATTAAATATAAAATTGAATATTTTTAATATTTTTAAAATTTGAAAACGACACAGTATTGTAAAAGGACAAATTAGGAAAGAGGAAAGTTTTAATGCAAAAAAAAAAAAAAAAAAAAAAAAAAAAGGGGGGGGATTGAGATATTAGGGGTAATAAGGAGATTGCGTGTACGTTGAAGATAGAAAAGGAGGGAAAACGGGTTTCTGTTAGCTGGAAGCGTGGAAGTAATGGAGCATGGATTTGACGCCACGTCTCCTCTTTTGTTCAAAAAGACTATTATATCCCCCCTTACTTTTCGGACGCCCACTCGTTAACGGCGGTGCCCATGCCTACCTCCTATTTTTTTATTACTTTTTTATTTTATTTTATTTTTTAATGGTTGTGTTCTATTTTGGTTCTTTAATTTGGGTGCATTGTTTTGAGTCTCACCTTAATTAAGCAAGCGAAAACAAGGAAAATTGAGACTAAAGCTACGAAAAGAAATAACATTATATTATTATTTGGGAGGTTTGTGGAATGAGATTCCATATTAGTTGGAGAGGAAATGAAACATTCGTTATAATAGTGTGAAATCTCTCCCTAACAAACACGTTTTAAAAACTTTGAGTAATAACTTGAAAGAGAGAGCCAAAAAAGTGACGATATCGGTTAGCGGTGAGTTTAGGCTGTTATCAGAGCTAGATATCAAACGATGTGCTAGTGAGGACGCTGGACCCTTAAGGAAGTGGATTGTGAGATCCCACCAAAGCATTCCTAGGGTGTAGAAACTTCTTCCTAGTAGACACGCTTTAAAAACTTCGAAGAAAATCCCGAAAGGAAAAGTTTATTAGAAGACAATTCCGATTCTATAAATGGTTTCAAAGTTAAGTCATGCCCTTATCTTTAATTTAGTCCTATCGATAGAATTCTTTAGTGTTGACCAAAGAAATTGAACTATTACACGAACATGTAGGGCAAGTGTTCACCCTACCATGATTGGACCCCAAATTTTGTATTTAATAAACATAATTGGGTGTGCAATGAATATCTTGTGAGAGTTTGTGCCTTTGAAGTTTCTTTTGAGAGGTTGAAGACGTGATTGATTGTGGGGTGGGAAGGATTTGGTGATGGCTCAACAAAGATATGGATTAATAAGGGTTGTGTGGATGAGAATTGATAGAGAAGCTGATGAACTCAACTAAACATGTGGGAGGTAGACTTTTGATACGCGATATTCGTCCTCGAAATGACTTGACCAAGATGGTTCGAGTAGCGATATGCAAATGGGATATCATACGCTTTGAATTTTAATATAACAATATCAATGCATACTTATTTTTTGTTGTTCATTTGGTAAAACCCATAACCAAACTCATATATTTTAAGTACATTTATAGCTTAAACGTTGATGATATAGAAGAATTCATTTACACTGAGAATATCCACCTTCAAAGCTTCATCCTTACATAACACACATCATTTACTTCAGAAAACCAAGCTCCTTCTTGGGAGCTTGCCAAATTCAAATTGCTAACTGCTATCTTAGAAGCCTTCAGCATTCACCAATATGATTCTCCCGTACGCCCAAAATCTGCACGAGTTCAGCTTATGATATTATTGTAATAGCTCGGTCTTATCACAAATTTAGTCCCTAAACTTTATCGGGAAACAAATTCTCACCCGAATCAAAGAATGCAACATTTCAGGACTAGCCCCTTTTGTTCTGTCCTTCCCTCTTCGTTCCCTGAAAACGTCGTTCCGAATTAGCTTTGTCTACGAATAAGGTAAGAAGTAGTGTTTCGAAAGAGTAAAACGGTTCATAAATGACAGCAGCAGAACATTGTAGCAGAAAAGCAAGAAAAGATGATCTAAGTAGTGATATATAAGCACCTTCAGGAGGCTGAACCAGCTTCCTATTTTGTGAGGACATCATTTCTTTCTTCAATTGAGTTAATATATCCTCCATTGTGTATTCCCTTTGCCATTTTGCAAGCATGGGAAGGAGGTTCCTTTCAACCTGGTAATTTTAGCAAGCATACATTATTTCCAGTTATAAAATGGTTACAAATGGCTTAAGAAATGGTTCCATACCATTCCAGTTTCGGGATTGACACATGTCATGTTTATCCTACTTTGGAATCTAACGGCCGGTGGATTATCTGGATAATCCTTTCCACAAAATAGCTTCAATTGGTAGATTCGCCCTTCATGAACAGTCTAAAACGACACATCAGACCATAAAATTTTAAGTGAGACGAGCTGAGGGCAAACTGTAGGCATTTGAGAACGTATAAAATTAGTAAGGAAAAACAACAGAAACAGTCATGCTACGTATCGAGAGAGACAAATGCGAGGGAAAGAGATGGGGAGTGTAACAGCCTAAGCCCACCGCTAGCAGATATTGTCCGCTTTGGCCCGTTACGTATCGTCGTCGACCTCTTGGTTTTAAAACGTGTTTGCTAAGGAGAGAGAGGTTTCCACACCCTTCTAAGATTATGTTTTGTTCCCCTCTCGAGTTGATGTGGGATCTCACATAGAAAAAGAAAGAGATCCTCAGTCCAAGCCTTTTAGGAGTTGTTAACAAGTTTGGCAACAAAGACACTTATCTTTATTCAGCGACATAAGCAAGATAAACCATTTATGATGATGCATAAACTCTCAGCTCTCCCCACAAGTTTCGTTCCAGACAAAGCGCAGTATAATTAAAACCTAAGCATCTTCTTTGCTTGCTCGTGACAAAAATTTCATAGCAAATGCAACTTAGGAGTAAATACAATCCATTTTCTGAGAGAATACCTCAAATTCATGCAAACAAGAAAAAGATCCAACCTGTAAGCAGAAAAGTTGAAACTCACATTAGGTGGACCTATAATGGTACCAGTCCAAGATTGCATTAGCAAATCATCTGGATCATCCATGCCATAGCTGACAGTTCCATCCCCAATCCCCTTTTCACCTCTCTCGAGCTCTTCCAATAATCTAAAATTCCTAGGAACTGCAAACAAACAGACGGCATAGGTCAAGCAAAGAGATATAATTAGCAAGCTAAAGCTATCGTGCTTCAAAGTTGTAACACGAGTAACTGGCTCTATGGGTTTCAAGACAGATAACACCCAGAATCTGATTCGAGGTGGACCGTAGAGAGAGACAGGATAAAAAGTTTTTGAGAACAGCATATAGATTATACAAGCACATACACACAAGAAATACAACTGTATCATAAAACTGATAAAACCAACCACGTTTAATAAGGTATATGAAAAAATAAAGGCGAGACATGACTCAAATATGGTGTGTCATTTTTTCATTGTAGGCAATCGGGGTGAACAAATGAAGGGAGGCTCAAGGTGGTACTTTGTTAGAGGAGAGGATTGTTAGGTGCAAACAAAGTTTCTCATTAGTTAAGGAAAAGAGATTCATTAGTTAAGGAAACGAGAGATCCATGGTATATAAATAAGGACAATTATCTTCACTTGTATGAGAGCTTTTGGTTAGTTCCAAAAACAAAATCACGAGAGTTTATGCCCGAAGTGGACAATATTAAACCGCTGGGGAAATATTTGGAGAGTCCGTTATCGTTGGACGACCGAATTCTTGATTGGATGTTGGACATCTAAAGATGTTAGGCATCCAAATTCCTTGAAAGAAGATGACCTCTTTTAAGGTCTTCCAACTATCCCTTGGTGACCAAAGTGGGATTTCGAGCACCTTCGATAAAATTTTATACGATCCTTCACCAAGCTAAATGCCATAGACTACTTCAGTTGGTTTCATCATTTCCTATAGTCAAGATTCATTACATCCCTGATCTTTCATCGATCTAAGCACTTCTAGTGGTGCATACACTTTAACTGAAATTGATTTTCTGACCAAACTGAAACCAAAAACAAAAACTGGAAAGGAAATAAGGAACGAGAAACCGAGTGACTCCAAGTACTGGCTGAAAACTGAACCAATTGAACCAACAGTTGAGAGATTGAAGGTCCAACAGGATCGAGGCAGGTTGGACAACTCACGGAATATCAGGTTGATTTAGGGACATAAATGGTGTTACCAGGAATAGAAAGTACTGGAAGCCAAATAGAGTCGAAAGTTGGACTATTCCCTTACTTAAAGGCAAGCAAGCCCTAAAGTAAAGGGAAGGAAAGGGCTTCGCCTAACTCCATCGACTTCCGGAAGAAATCGAAGAATTTCTCGGAAATCCTACAATATCCATTCGTTCTTTTGTTCTCCAGCCTCACTCACAGCTCAGGATAGACAAGAGCAAAGCATACATGTTCTTTAGGACTAAGTAGCACAAACCACAAAAAGAAGAGGGAAATGGAATTGACAAGAAGGACTAAGTTCCATACAACCTCTCAAAGGTAATCCAATCAATCCAAGGGCTAATCAAGTCATAGCCATAAGATGTTATGATATTGAAGTCCTAGTATGCAGAGGCCAGCCAGGAGTAAGAAATAGGAAAAAGATCACTGCTCTATCAGAACTCAAAATTTATCAGTCACGGATCCAAATTTCAAATTACACTATTCTCTGTAATTATAAAAACTAATTCGATCAACCACGACTCTCGAGAACAATAAATTTAAACAGCTTGATCAAATAGTTCAAAGAAGTTCCATGATTATGTATACAAAATAGTATTAATCAAACACACGAACAACATGAATTTGAATCCAAGGGATTCAAACCCATCACTTGAACTATGAACAATTCAACAATTCCATCAAAACCCAAACTCCAAATTGGAAAAAATACAGAATCCGAAAACCCCAATAAACCAACAACGATCCAGTAATCAAAGAAACGAAGATTGAAATCAAAAGATAAAAACCCAGAAAGGAAAGGAAAGGAGAGAAGAAAATTAGGGTTTTGAAGAACTCACCAACCACCCTGGATCCTTCAGAGCCCATGAAGCATAGAATAATACAGAGAGAGAGAGAGGTTCAGAAAGTTTCTAGATGAATGAAAGAATTAAGAAAGAGGGAGGAGAGAGAGATGGAAGTAAAAGAGTTGGGTTTGAGAAATGGGTGAGTGATATTAAGCCCAAGCGGCCATAATACTTTTGGGACCAAAAAGCCTAAAAAAAAAGGAACCCGCCATCGCTCAATGACCGCTGTTTTCTCCCTGTTTAAGTGGCAGGAGGACGCAGTCCGTAGCAACCCTCTGTGGACTTGTCCATGCCTCTCAGTCTCATAAGTTCAAATTTACCAAAGATTATTATTTCTTAAATATTTGATTTATGTGTAGTTGTTGGGTGATTCGATTCTTATTTTCATAATTGTTGAGCTAAAAAAAAGATTTAATTCTGTTCAAATAACTACAAGAGATATGACTACGCGTTTATTCTTCCTCCTTGAGTTATATACTATTTACTTTGTGGTGCTTCTTTCTTTGCATGAGGTCATGTCGTCTCTTTGTGCTTGATGTTTTCTTAGTTGGAAGAGTAACATTTCAAATTACGTGGATAACAGGGCTAGTTTGCATATATGGGAGTAATTGGGTCCGAAGAATAACGTTTCAAGTTACTAACGTGGATAATAGGGCTAGTTCACATCCATGGAAGTAATTGGATCCAACTTCGACAGGTACATAGTATTTTCGCATCAATCATTAATTCGGATTGTCTTTACCTTAATTGAATCAAAACTGTCGACCCGATACACTTGATGCATGCACCATCCATGACAATGTCTTCAAACATTCTCCCACCAAATATTTGGGGGAAAAAAGGAAAAAATAAAGATTAATAAAAGGAAGAGAAAAAAAAAGAAAAAGAGGAATAAATCCCAACCCTAATTAGCGCCATTCATCCTCTTTGTTAATCTCTCTCTCTATATATATATTTACTAATTAACGAACTGTAACCAATCTGAAATCCCCAGTTTCCTTCACCGCTTCAATTTCCCCCCCCAAATTCTCTTCCACTTTCTCGATCGATAATGGCTCCTTTGTCCCCCATGTTCACCTTCAATCCTCCGATTTCCAATTCCTTCTGAAATCGGTTTTGGAGTTGGATTCTTCTTCGTAGCAGAAGAGAGGAATTAATCATGGGATTCAAATCTCTTTTCTGCCGAAAGAAGAAGCCATTCGCCTCCGTCGATTCTCCGCTCGTCTCCGCGTCCTCGACGCTCGGGTCTGGATCTTCATTGGAAGATTCACGGGCTCAGATAGCGGAACTGGAGGAGGTATTCAAGAAATTCGATGTGAATGGTGATGGAAAGATCTCTTCTTCGGAATTAGGCACGATTTTGGGGAGCCTAGGGCACAACGCTAAGGAGGAAGAGCTCGCGAAGATGATCGAGGAATTTGACGCTGATGGAGACGGATTCATCAATTTGCAGGAGTTCGTGGAGTTAAATACTAAAGAGATCGATCCTGAGGAGCTGTTGGAGAGTCTAAGAGAGGCATTTTCGGTTTACGATATCGATGGAAACGGATCGATCACCGCCGAGGAATTGCACGAGGTTCTGAAGAGTTTGGGGGACGATTGCTCGGTAGAGGATTGTCGACAAATGATCAATGGCGTCGATAGAAACGGCGACGGAATGATTAGCTTTGAGGAGTTCAAGGTGATGATGATGTCGACGGGACTCTCCGTCGCTAGCGGCTAATATTCATCGTCCGCCGGTGGTTTTCACGAGGAATGTGCCTATAAATAGCCAGAATTTGGATCTTCTTCCCCGTTCTGTTCTCTGACAAAGTATTGCAAGTTCTTCCACTTTTTTTTTTTTTTTTTTTGGGACTTTATCATCAAATTTTTAAAAGAAAAATGAGATGCTGCATGGATTTACTAGCCATATACTATATACTTTTTAATGTAAACTTTTTATCAACAATTTCATGTTTACTAGAATCTTGCCATTTGATTTTTTCCGTAGTAGCTTTTCCAATTTAATTGTATCTGCCCGTGAGAATGTTGGAGTAAATAATGTGACCATGTCAATGTAAGAGAATGTTGGAGTAAATAATGTGACCATGTCATAGTGGATGTAATGTGACCATGTGACCATGTCACAGTGGATGATGTAATGTGACCATGTGACCATGTCACAGAGGATGTAATGTGACCATGTGACCATGTCACAGGGGATGTGGATGTAATGTGACCATGTGACCATGTCACAGGGGATGTGGATGTAATGTGACCATGTGACCATGTCACAGGGGATGTAATGTGATCATGTGACCATGTGACAGGGGATGTAAGAGAATGTTGGATGCCAAATTTGGATTCTAAATCTTTATCCAAATTTTGGACATGAGACCCCATAGTTCTCTTAGAGGTGATGATCCAAGTCTCTCTTGTAGGGCAATTTTGGATATGAGACCCTATAGTTTTTAAAGGTGATGATCGAAATCTCTCTTATAGGGCAATTAATGAGATCAAGTGATTCACATCTTCTTAGTGCTCGTTAATTCTAAAGGAGTCTGGCACCTAATTTTATTAAGCTTACTTGAGCTCAAGTTAGAATTTTCTTACTCTAAACATGAGCTCAAGTTAGAACTTTCTTACTCTAAACATATATCGTTTATTTATTGGTGTCACGATATCAAACCTAATGACCACATTAACAGAATCTAGATTTTGAGCTTATCTCACTCATTAGTGTTACAAGACCGTACCCAATGGTTAGATTCATGTAATATAGCTCCTCTAATCTCATCTCAATCATTAAATTCACACGATCTAGTTTCACTAAGCACCCCTAGTTCATTGGTGCCATGTGACCTAGCTCTTCTAAGTGTATCTCAATGTTTGAACTTACTAAGGTTCAACTAATTTAGCTAAACACTTCACTATTCTCCTATTGTCAAATCAAACCACGATATAGTGAGGTGCGAACTCTAGAATAGTCCAACATCCAACGTTAGAATATATATGACTCATGTCACTTTGGACAACTTGCTACTAGAGATTAGTTGGCTACTTTGTGGCATCCCACATATGGGAGCGACCCATGTACCTGTCAACTATCTCAAAATTATGTGGATATCTCCCCATGTACTTACTACTAGAGGATAGTTGGAGATCCTCTAAACGATCTCCACTCAATAACATGATGACATTGCATATCGTATACACTTAGGGTGCTCAGCCAACTATTTCAATAAAAGTACAAGCCCTACCTATCAGGATACTTCTTTAATAGTCCCCCTAAGGAGACCCAGTGGAAGCCTAGTGGTAGGACTTCTAAGTTCAAGATATGTTAGATTGAGTCGTGTAAAGACGTGTATTGACATATCATTTACCAGCTTAGTATTACCTTTGTAAGCTACAAATAAATATGAATAAATATTACCCACAATCAAATACTTTCAGAAGTGACAAAGTTGTACCACCAGAGCCGCTAGGAAGAAGCACTGTTTTGTTTGAAGTCAATAAACACCCACAGGAAGTGTCTGTACATTAATTAGCTTGAACTTATTCAAGAAGATTGTTACAAGACGACGAACAAGCAAAATGAAAGGAACAATAGAAGGAAAACAAACTGAACTTCCTTCTTCTAAGTACTTTCACCTTTTCTTTTTACCCACTATGGCTTCAACGAAAAAACAACACAACCACATGGGTAAAAAAAATGTCCCCTTGTACAAAATGAAAAGAATTGCTCAGCCGAAAACTGAGCTCATCTCTTTTATATGCAGCCGTCCCCAACCACACACTAACGAACAAAAAAAAAAAAGGTGTCTTTTAGACCAAACTCTACTATGATATACAATTTTACAAACTACACAAAATCTTATCCATCACTGAATCCACTGTATATAATGAAGAATATAATCATAACTGTAATTGCCCTGGCCCTCTCCTTGATCTTGAAGGAGGCCTATTAGTCTCTAGTGCTGCAGCTGAGGCTGAGGCTGAGGCAGCGGCTGAGGTTGGGGCCGGGGCTGGGGTTGGGATTGTCCGTCTTGTTTCTTCCGAGTTTTCAACCCCCTACATATTTCAAAAACAATTTCAATACTCTCTTTTCTGGGTTGATTATCCAAAATGGAGATTGACAAGTTAAGCATGTTAAGAGAAAAACAAACAGAAATGAGCATATTGTTGATGGAAAGAACTTTGAAAGTAATTATCAAACACAGGCAAAAGGATTTTTCTTCAATGCGATAAAATGCTATTCCTTTCTTAAACCCACGTTATATAGAGTGGTGGTTTCGAAACATTTTGCAGAAATAAGATACCAGTCATAGTACTTCATGCAGAAACTCACTTTTGTTTATAGTACGCAAAGGTATGATGAATTATATCCAATCCTTTCCAGATCATCATTATTAAAGCTTTTCACTCAATAGAAATGAAAAATTCACTCTGAAACAAAGCTGGTAAATGATAGGAATGGATGCTTGTATAAAGCTAAAGGATTTTGGAAATAATGTCAACAAACCATTGTTGTCATCGAAGGTGGAGTACAGGTCCGTGGCAGTGTCTGCTCCTTTGCACGCAAGCGATGTTCATGCTGCATGTGCTCGAATTGTTGCAGCCTAGCAGCGAAGTTAATTCCATTTCGATAGTTCCCAGCATCCTGGCTTGGATCACCATCTTCATGTATATTCAACCCAGACATCTTGAAGTGCTCGCCACTAAACGAGTACGGAGGAACTGTTTTGAGACGCGTTCGTAGTAACTTAAAGGCGGCACTTTGCTGTGTTTTCATGTCAAACCATAGGTAAACAGAAAAGTCAACTAATGCATCACAAGTGTATTGTCATTCATTAAATAAATGAACATATTGAAGTGGTTAACATAGTAGCGCCTCTTTTTTGGGTTTGCACGGTTCGAAGCCTAGCATAGACTTTAACACCTGAAGCTTACAAAGAAAGTTACAATTTTTTTACTTGTTTCAAATATAGCATAAGTGTGCCTATTTCTAATTGTATTTTATATTATATTCGAATTTGAGTTTAATTTGGATTGTGCTAGTAAAATTTCAAGTTTTCTACTATATTAAAAAATGCATACTTCTTTTATTCTAATTATGCAAGTGTCTCATAAAACAATGCTCTATCATTATTATAAGTTATGAAAATTGAAAATCCAATAAAGAGCGCACATCTTGCAATTAAGAAAAAGAATATAGAATAAATACTGCTCTTAACAGTAAGACATGTGTACCTATTGGGAAAAAAATACACAAGGCAACAACATCATCCCAGCTCAAGAACCAATCCTAGAGTGAAATTGGGACCTTTTCTTTTCACAAAGGATATATTAGCTATTAGGTTTAGATGTCCATTTTAATGTTTTAGTTTGTTGCCATACTGCACTGTCTGTGCAGTGATCCTACAAATATAGAATTCCTTAGGCTATGCTTGGGTATAGGAATGAGGGGTTGTCTTTGTAGTGGGGTGGCAGACATCTACTAGAGAGGTTAAGATGGTTGAGGTTGAGCCTGAGGTTGGGCATGCTTCCTACCAACGAAGCAGACTGGCTTAGTGCAAGGCTACAGGCAAACGTGGGATCGAGCAATTTGAGGAGGATCTTGGGGATGTAATTAGGTTTAAATCATCTTTCGGGCGCCTGCTAAGACACTTTTTTTTTTTTTTTTTTTTTTTTTTTTTTTTTTTTTTTTTTTTTTTTTTTTTTTTTTTTTTTTTTTTTTTTTGTAACTATTAGCCTAGTGTGAATTTTTTTTAATTAGAGTCCCTTTCTGTATTTGAGCACGAGGGTTGTCTTGTTTTTGACACTGTCCCTGTATATCCCTTTTTATCTCAATGAAAGTTTGGTCTCTTAATATTCCTCTTGGAGCTGAAGATAAGGTGCATGAATGGAGACTGACTTTGGATCATCGAGGCCAAAAGGACAAGGTACATGTTCGTCTGTCTATCCAGTTATGAAAAGCTCACCAAACACGCAGTGTGTGCGGCTCTTGTCCAAGCAGTCCATGGCATTCGAAACTATCCAATAAGCTAGCTCTCAGGATTGGACCCGAGACCCATTCAGTCCTTGAAATTTAGAAGTACAAATATTGTATCCAGGCAAACATCCGGGATCTACATTTTCAAAGTCGGATGTCACAAGGTCAAAGTACTGTAGTAATAAAATTTTCAGAATCTTGTGACCAAATTCTATCTTTTTACTGTGCCCAAAAAAACAATGAATACAAGAAAGTCATATCCTCCATATTAATATATAGCAGGAAAAAGTAACACTGGCCTCATTATAAGTTAATATGGGAAAAAGAAAAGGGAGCAACTGAAGATTAACAAGGCATACCTGAGGAAGTAACATTAGAAGACCGTATAATGCTTTTAACAGCCATATATATCTCCCAGGTTCGAGAAGCTGCAAGAATCCCAAAGTAATATCCAATTCAAGAAGAAATAAACAAATCCAAGATACCTTACAAAAGAACATCCAATTGGTATGAATGACACGGGAATGTTTATAATCCATTGGTGGTGAGAGCTTTGTAGTGTTCTTCCATCGCATACTTCCATAACTTTTTTCTTAACCACTTCTTTTTTTTTTTTTTTGATCTAATAAGACTACTTTTTCATAAGCATGTTTGGCTTTAGGTCAGGAGGAGAACTCATCTTAACTTCCTCTTTTCCACACGGGATGATCATTTCAATTTCTTATCCCAAAAAAGAATGAAAAGACAACCTTCATGACATTATACTATAATTTTTTAAATCATAAAGCTTTCCCATCACATGGTACAAAATAGAAGCAAAACTTATCATCTACCTGTAATCTAAAGTCCAAGTATGCATGCGCAGTTAATGGTTCAAGTAAATATCTATAATATGTGTATGCTTCTTTTTACACTGTAATAGTATCTGATCAAATGTGAGACAAATGAAGAAATACAAAACAGGCAGATCAATAGCAAGAACCCAAAATAAAAAACTAAGATGA